TGATAACAACATTTACTCTGGATCAGCCACTGTTCTAATTACAGACCTGATTTCATTAATCCCACTTTACAGAGCAGGAAACTGAGGCTTAGGAAGGTAAATATTCCTTGCTAAATGTCTTTCAGTCTGCCCTAGAGCCCGGACCTGGGCCAGCTCTCTTGGGTCCTGTGGCCACACACAACCCCCTGATCATGGCACAATGGAGTGCCCACTGCATGCCAAGAACTCTTTAGAGGCTGCAGATCCAGACCTGGAAAAAAAAGAGGCCCAGTGGGTCTGGGACATTTGCAGAAATGTTACCCATCTCACTGCCTGGCTTCCAAGTACCTGTGTCTTCTCAGGAACTGTGGTGCACACAGGTAAGCTGTCCTGCCTCTGGGCCCTGGTGTCCTCGCTGAAATGATAGACAGGGACAGCCAGCGCAGACATCCTGGGGTTGCAGGACCGTGTCTACCCCAGACGTGCCAGGCAACACTGAGCAGGTCACATCCCTGCTGCAGCCTTTATTTCCCCTTTCTGTTTTTTTTTTTTTGAGTTGGAGTCTCACTCCGTCGCCCAGACTGGAGTGCAGTGGCCGCTGCCGGCAACTGCAGCCTCAACCTGCTGGGCTCCGGCGATCCTTCCGCCTCAGCCTTCCAAGTAGCTGGAATTACAGGTATGCGCTACCACGCCCAGCTGATTTTTTAATTTATTGTAGAGATGAGGTCTCACTGCCCAGGCGGGTCTCGAACCTGCGGTCTCAGGCAATCCACTCACCACAGCCCCCCAAAGGCACGGGATTACAGGCTGAGCCACTGAGCCCTATTTCCCCTTTCTGTAAGGGCTGGGACAGGGTGGAGATGCCAATTTCTTCACCTGGGAAATGGAGAGTTGACCCCTCAGAGCCCTCTCAGCTCTGCTGCGTTAGTGAGACTCGGGTTCTTACTGTTGGCGATGTTTAGGAAGGGCCTGGAACATCAGGCTGAGCAGATTGATCTATGTGAGCAGCCACAGAAGGTTTTGGTTTTTAAGAAATGAGATCTCAGCTGGGCTTGGTGGCTCAGCCTGTAATCCCGCGCCTTTGGGAGGCTGAGTTGAGTGGCTTGCCTGAGCCCGCGGGTTTGAGACCCGCCTGGGCAGGCGAGACCTCATCTCTACAATAAATAATTAAAAAAAAAATAGCCGGGCATGGTAGCGTGCGTCTGTAGTTCCAGCTACTTGGAAGGCTGAGGTGGAAGGATCGCCGGAGCCTAGGAGGTTGAGGCTGCAGTGGCTGTGAGCATGTCACTGCACTCCAGCCTAGGCGACAGAATGAGCCTCCAATTCAAAAAAAAAGAAAAAGAAATGGGATCTCAGTCCGTCACCCAGTCTGGAGTGCAGTGGCATAATCACAGTTCACTGCAGCCTGGACTTCCTGGGCTCAAGCAATCCTCCCACCTCAGCCTCCTGAATAGCTGAGATTATAGGCATGCACCACCACGCCAGGCTAATTTTCGATTTTTTTGTAGCGACAAGGTCTTGCTATGTTGCCCAGGCTGGTCTGGAACTCCTGGTCTCATGTGATCCTCCCACCTTGGCCTCCCAAAGTGCTGGGATTACATGTATGAGCCCGGCTGCCACAGAAGATTTGAGCAGGGAAGAGAGAGGTCTCCTGTGGATATTAGAGCCTCTGTAGCCTCATTGGGAATGCGATTGGAGCCTGGGAAACAAAGCAGGAGGCTGGGACAGGAACTGGGGTGAGGAAAGAGGGCGAGGCCTGAGCTGAACAGACTGAGGTTGTCAGGCTAGGGGTAGGGAAGGGACAGGTTGTGGGGGCCAGGTGGCTGAAGGGGAGAGAGGGACAAAAGTAACCCACTGTGTCCCTTTTAACTTCAGGACCAGCAGTGAGAGCATGATTCATTCCTGACCTTTTCATTCCAACTCCAGCAGAGCCAGGGAGTCCTGTGTTTAGAATGAGTCTGAGGGCTGGGCTCAGTGGCTCACGCCTTTAATCTCAGCACTTTGGGAGGCAGAGGTGAGAGGATTTCCTGAGCTCAGGGGTCCGAGACCAGCTTGAGCAACAAGGTGAGACCTAGTCTACAATAAATCAAAAAATCAGCCAGGTTTGGTGGCATGCGCCTCCAGCAAAGGGTATCCATCCATCCTCCAGCAAAGGGTATCCATCCATCCTCCAGGCCAAAATGGGCCCTCTCAGTTGGGAGCTGTTTCCTAGAATCAGGGGGGACTGGAGATCCCCAGATGAGGCTGGGGCCATCAACCAGTTTCTGGAAAAGTCCACAAGGAGTAGATGTGAGCACAGAGGGGTGAGGCTCACTCCCTTTGACACTACTGTCCCCCTCTGCTCCCTGCCCTGGTCACAGTTTCTCGAGACTTCTCATGGCTTTCATGAACCTTGGGAGGTTTCTTCAAGAAGTAACTACCCAGGCTGGGTCCTAAAGCCCGGTTTTCCTCCTCAGCCCCACATGGTGTGGGGGCAAAGCCTGGAGAAGGACTCTCCTCCCCAGCTACTTCTTCCCCTAAGATGGCAGGGGCTGCTGCCTTCCCCTCAAACCCAGCCTGGCACCCAAGGGACCCTCCAGAGGGAGGCCCAGGTCATATTACTGCCCCCAGGCTTCTGGAGCTGAAAGATGAGCTCTCCACCTGCCCAGGACTCTGAATCACCTTCCACCTCTGGCCAGCTGTTCCAATCCCATCATCTTCCCCTGCCCTCTGAGTTCACACAGATCTGAGCTCTCATCTTGCATTGCCAAGTTTACACTCCCCAGGATCCCAAGCTCAGGAGGAGGAGTTCCACCACTTTTTTTTTTTTGAGTTGGAGTCTCACTCTGTCACCCAGACTGGAGTGCTGTGGCCACTCCCAGCCACTGCAGCCTCGACCTGCTGGGCTCCGGCAATCCTTCCGCCTCAGCCTTCCAAGTAGCCGGTATTACAGGCATGTGCTACCAAGCCCGGCTGATTTTTTGATTTGTTGTAGAGATGAGGTCTCTGTGCCCAGGCGGGTCTCAAACCTGTGGGCTCAGGCAATCCACTCACCTCAGCCTCCCAAAGGCGCGGGATGACAGGCTGAGCCACCAAGCCCGGCTTCCACCCACTCTTAAAGCTTTCTGGGTCCTTGGCCCTGGCAGTCACATTGGGCAGGGACTCATCTTCCTTCCTTGCTGCCCCTAAGCCCCTGGGATGCTCCTGTCCTCCCAGTCCTCTTGCCTTGTGATGGTCTCTTTATTCATTCACCACGCAAGGTGGTCGCCCCAGCTCCCAGCACCAGCCCTGCCCCATTCTGGCTTCTATCCCTCTGCCCATACTATGAACTCCAACCTGGTAACGCCCTTCCTCCCTGCCCCTACATCCAATCCAGTCCTTCTCTGACTCTTACCTGAGCCCACAGAAGCTCTTGGGTCACCCTTGTCCACAGGAATGAGTGCTGACTTGGAGCACAGATTTGGGGGTCCTGTGCTTCTGGGGGTCCAGGATGTCTTTACCATGTTCTTCCGCACACCCTTGAGCACAGAAAAGCCCACGTGAACCCAAAGTAGTCCTGACAAAGCCAGTGAGGAGGCCTCCTGGAAGAGGGGGCGTCCAAACACCTAAATCTGGCAACTATTTTATTTTCTAAGCACGAGTGACCATTGACTCAGCAGGCAAGAGTTTAGGCTTGAACAGGTACGAGGATGTCAGGTTCATTTTGCACCAAGCACAGAGCGGGGTGCCCAGTGAGTGCTTAGGAGTCTGTTCTTGCGGGGACGTTTGGTCTGGACACGGATATCCTCACTCACCCGTCGTGTTGCATACAGCCTCTGTTGCTCGCCGCCATGTGCAGCCTTTGGAAACCACGCAGTCGCCCTCACTCCAAGACTCTCAATAGGGTCCCAGTGGTCACACGCACACTCAACACACACCCCTGTGGAGACTCAGCACACACCTCACGATCTTAGGCCCATGGCATCCAAGTCACCGAGACTTATCAAGACTCCTCCCAATACAGACACGCCAGAGGTCTCACCGCTGTGCACCTTCCACTCCGAGACACACCAGCCATCTTTCCAAACTGAGTCTCCTTCTAGGCCACGGAGTTGTATCCTCTGCCTCCTCTCCCATTCGACACTCATGGAAACCACCTGCTTTCTCTCTCACCATGCCACTCTCTCCTGTCTCCCTGAAACTCTACACGGAGGTGAGTCCTGTGGCCATCTGGTCTCCCCATTCTCCCTGCCGCCCTTAGCCACCACCACTCCCCAGCAGGAGGAGGGCCGCGATGCCTGCTTCCCCCCACTCATGGAGCCAGTTGATAGGCACCTTGGGGTCCATCCCAGGCCCTGACGAGCTGCCTCTCCAGAGGTGGCCTTTGGGACACTGGGTTCTCAGAAAGGAACGTGAGATTGAAACCAAAGTACCAGCCGGGCTCGGTGGCTCAGCCTGTAATCCCGCGCCTTTGGGAGGCTGAGGTGAGTGGCTTGCCTGAGCCCGCGGGTTCGAGACCCGCCTGGGCAGGCGAGACCTCATCTCTACAATAAAATTTTTTTTTAAATTAGCCGGGCGTGATAGCTCGCGCCTGTAGTTCCAGTTACTCGGAAGGCTGAGGCGGAAGGATCGCCGGAGCCCAGTAGGTCGAGGCTGCGGTGGCCGGGAGCGGCCACTGCACTACAGTCTGGGTGACAGGGTGAGACTCCAATTCAAAAAAAAAAAAAAGAAACCAAAGTACCTTTGCAGGACCCACTCAGCCACCTGTCTGGGTTGATGGGTGGCTCCTGCCGTGGCCACGCTGTGCTGTGCCACACAAATTCCTTCTGGCCACTTGGGGACCAGGAAAAGAGACCATGCCTCCTCCGTCCCTAAGGTCACCCCATCCCTGGTCAGTACACGCCTCTTGGACCTGGGCCCACCTGCCTCCTCGCCCCTCACTCCCCGGTGCTCCTCCCCCTGCCCTGCCCAGACAGCAAGAGCTCCTCACTCCCTCCAGCTCCCCCCCACACACCTGCCACCCCAAACCAGGTAGCTCTCACGGGTCACATTATTGGTCTTTTTACTTTGTTTTGTTAAGACTTGGTCTGTGGGTGAGACATGGGGGTGGGGCTGCACGTTTATTTCTCTTCTAAGTCGGGTGTCTGCTTCTTCCAGCTGTCGAGAATGTACTTGAGAAGGAGGCCAAGCTTCCTGCGGGTCGAGAGCGGGGCTTCCTCACAGCCTCCCTCCCCAGTCCCCCGCTTTTCCATGCTATTGTCACCAGCTGCCTCCAAGCTGAGGTCCGACTGGGGCTCGTCCTCCTCCAGGGCCTTGATGCGGACGCGCTGAGCATCCTCCGCCAGGTCATTGAGGCAGCCCTGGAGCATGGTATAGATGGCGCCAAAGCTGATGCCACTGGCCACCAGCGTCCCAAACACAGGGATGCCCCTCTCGAAAGCCCGGGCCACCCGCATGGCACCGTCTGAAGACTGCGAGTACAGCCGCAGCACGGTCTCCGGCGAGGCCTCGTTGGCCAGCGGGGAGCGGATGACGGAGCGCAGGTCCCCCGCCTGTTTGCCCACCTGCTCGGCCAGCTTGGCCAGCGAGTCGCTGTCCAGGCCAAAGCTGCGGTGGTAGCCACGCAGCGAGCGGATGAGCAGGGCGTCATCGTAGGCGGCCGCCAGCCCGGGCACAGGCAGGGCCTGAATGATGCTGGACACCAGGGCCGTCTTGAGTACCTGCTCTTGAAGCATGTCCTTCTTCTTCTGCAGGGCCTCCAGCGAGATGTCGGGCAGCGACAGGAGGCTGGCATGGCGCCGGTGGGCGGGCAGGTCGTGCTCCCAGGTGGCCATGAGCATGGGAAAGTCATAGTGGGTGGGAGAGAGGTTGGACACGAGGAAGATGCGGGGGTCGGTCACGCCGGCCATCCGCAGCCGCTCAGCACAGTGGTCTCGGATCTCCTGCAGGACTCTGGCCTCGTTGAAGCCGGCGGGCCGCTGGGTACGCGTGGCCTCCAGGTCTTCGTCCACCTTGGTGCGCACGAAATAGAACTTCTTGCCCTGGCGCAGGATCTCGGTGGCCAGGCGGGTCTCGATGGCCCCGCAGCGGCGGGGAGACACCAGCAGGAAGAAGTCGTAGTGCATGAAGTCCACCTGCTTCAAGTACTTGTCGGCCGGGCAGCCTGGAGAGCCTGCTCCTGGCAGGTCCCACAGGGTCACGTCGGGGAACTGAGGGTGCGGGTAGGGTGAGGGTTGCATCGTGGTCTCCGTGACGCCCGTGAGAGCCGCGCCAGGGTCTTCGGCCCCCAGGCCACGCAGGGCGTTAATGAGAGATGATTTGCCCGCGCCCGACTCGCCCGTGACCCCCACCTCCAGGCGGGTGCTGTCCGAGGAGGCCAGCAGCTCCCGGAGCCGGGAGGCGGCCTGGGGGATGTCGCCCGACTCGAAGGCCGTGCGCAGGGCCTCCAGCTCTTCCTTAGCCATGAGGATGGTGGTCTCCTCCTCCCTGGGCACCACCGGCAATTTTGAAGTAGCCATGGTGGCCAGTGGTTCAGAGGGTGGTGGGGGACAGGGAGAGTCACTGGACACGTGATCCTTGGTGCCTGCGGAGGAGAAGGGAGCTGTTCACACCTCCTGGGTCTAGGCGTGGGGCAGGGAGAGAGATCCCAAGGATGTGAAGGAAGTCCCTCTGGAACCCCACAGTGCTACCTCCCTCAAGAACCAGGGGTACATTTGTGGCACCTGTTAGAGGGCCCAGGTGCACATCCCATCTCTGCCACTAATTTGCTGTGTGACCTGGGACAAAGTGAAGTGTCTCTCTGTGCCTGTTTGCTTCTCTGGGCAATGGACCTGATGACCAAGCTGCCTCCTCAGGTGCTGTCAGGAGTCTGCGGGGTAACCTAGGCACGGGCCAGTTTTCTGGGGGTGCTGAGCCCTGGAGGGCCCTGAGCCTTGAAGGACCCAGTGCTTGGTTGAACGCTCTGCTGACGCTGCCTGGAATTTGTTATACTGTTTGAACCAGGGACTGCGCATTTTTACTTCGTACTGGGCCCCGCAAATGAAGTCGCCGGGGCTGCATCAGAAAGGGTTAAGCACGCTGCCAGGCCTGTAGCACAAGCCCAATCAGAGACAGTGGCTGAGGGCTTGGTGCAGTGGCTCATGCCTGTAATCCCAGCACTTTGGGAGGCCAAGGCGAGTGGATTCCCTGAGCCCGCAGGTTCGAGACGGGCAAATTGGCAAGACCTCGTCTCTACAGTAAATTTAAAAAAAAACAAAAACTAGTTGGGCGTGGTAGCACGTGCCTGTGGTTCCCACTGCTTGGAAGGCTGAGGTGGAAGGATCACTGGAGCCTAGCAGGTCGATGCTGGGGTGGCCGTGAACGTGCCACTGCACTCTCCGCTCCCGGCCACCGCAGCCTCGACCC